TGTTACACGTAGTGGGTCCAAGACAACACGCAATATGCCGAACCCAGAAGTTGGATTGCCAGCCGCCGAACTAGCGGCTGGGTATAGACGTACCCTAAGGTATTGGACATGCTACCAAGGGAACAGAGGTGTTTTTAAATCCCCACTATGAAATGGTGAACGACTGCCCACCCCAGATTGTGCAACTTACTGATGATAGTTTTGTTCAATTCTTTAGATCCATATTGTCTTAGATCAGTGGTCCCAACCTTTCCGTGGGGCGGGTGCCGGACGACTAGCCGCCGAGGAGCACGGGTGCTGGACAAGCAGCCACCCAAATGCTGCCGAGAAACGGCAGTGCCAAGAAGCATTGCCGCCAAAATACCGCTGACAAGCAGCGTCCTCAAGAGGCGTTGCTGTCAAATTGCTGCCAAAAATCGGCAGCATTTCGGTGGCGGCTCTTCTTGACTTTGCTGCTTCTTGGCAGCATTTTGGTGGCTGCTTGTCCAGTGGCCAGTAGGCGGGCGCACGTAGATGCCCCGGCGGGTGCCATGGCGCCCGTGGGCACTGCATTGGGGACCCCTGTCTTAGATGATCCAGTAAGAAAGTTCCACAGTATGTGACTGGGAACTTTGCAAAATGCTTATGAAGTTATGACCCAAGTTCTACCGGAGATCACTCCTGAATATATCGCCTAGCTAATATTTTGATTTGTGAAATGTTGTGTAACTATGCAGAGGTAGAGGAAACAGAAGTGGTGGTTTTGTTGAACTAACCCTTTGTAGGTGCTGCAAATGAGTATAAAATGAAATCGGTGTTGAATGTAAGATAGCTGTAGAAAAATAACAATTTTTGAACAGAAATAAAATCAGAGATTCTGATTCAGGTCTGTGTCTCATTCTTAACTTAGTCTATGTCTACACTTATCGAGGATTGATGCTGCTGCAATCGATGCAGCGGGGGTCGATTTAGCTGGTCGAGTGAAGACCCGCTAAATTGACCACAGAGTGCTCTCTGGTCGATTCCGGTACTCCACCAGAATGAGAGGACTAAGATAAATCGACGGGAGAGCATCTCCTGTCGATGCAACGCGGTGTAGACACTGCAGTAAATTGACTTAAGCTACGTTGCTACGTTCATGTAGCTGCTGGAGTAGCGTAACTTGGATCGACTTACCATGGTAGTGTAGACTACAGAAATAAAGTGGGCATGTTTGGGGAACAGGGACGGGGCTTTGGGGAAAGGGGGGAGCAGGGGCAGGGCCATGGGGAAAGGGGGGAGGAGGGGCGGGGCCATGTGGAAAGGGGCGGGCAGGGGGTGACACCATGTGGAAAGGGGAGGAGCAGGGGTGACACCAGGGGAAACGGGGAGCAGGGACGGGGCCATGGGGAAATGGGAGGGGCAGGGGCGGGGCTTTGGGGAAAGGGGAGATGCCGGGGCGGGGCCATGGGGGAAGAGAAGGAGCAGGGGCTTTGGGGGAAGAGAGGGAGCAGGGGCGGGGCCTTGGAGGCAGGGGTGGAGCAGGGGGGTGGTCACGGGGAAAGGGGT